AGTATCTCTACAGAAGTAGATTGCCCAGTCTTCCTTCTGAGGAGTGGCTGGTGGCTTTGAACTACCAGCCGTTTGGTTAGCACTCAAATGCCTTAGGCAAGTGGGGTTCCTTTCGGTGTTGTGAGTATATTATCAACAATATTACAAATATATCCCTTTACCTTAATTGTGTGCTGACATAAGGATCAACTTCACCCATGACCTTCACCTGTTATAACAATGGCTATACTGTCTGCCGTTTATGAAGTGCCCTCCAATGTGATCATCAAGGGGTAAGAACTATTATTGTCCCCATTCGACAGATCAGTAAACTGAGCTGAAGAGAGGTAGATGAACTTCCCAAAGTAACACACCTGGTTGGTGGCAGAGGCAATTTCAAAACCTGGACCTTCTTACTTAAGGGAGTGAATTTGACCACTTTGCCAGATGGTCTTCTACCAAGGATAAAACCAAAATTAAATCAGTTGCTGTCACGTTGACTCAGACACAGAGTGACCCCATGTGTGTCAAAGTAGAGCTGTGCTTTGCAGGGTTTTCGATGACTGGTTTTTTGGAAGTAGATCACCAGGCCTTTCTTCCAAGATGCCTCTGGGTGGACCCGAACCTCTAACCTTTTGTTTAGCAGCTGAACATGTTAATGTTTGCACCACTGACTACCTCTGCTGACTAGGCCTACCATGCTCTGACCTCAGCAAGACATTTTTCCCAACCCTGACTTGACAAATACCTAACTGCATTCTAAGCTTCCAGAAAACCTAACTCAGTGCCTGCTGAGTGTGCAAATGAACACCTGTGCTCTGTGTGTGCAAGAAAAAATATTAAAAGTGTCCTGTTTTACACTGATACCAAGTCCCATGGAACAGCTGCAATTTGGATGTATTTTCTGGACTGTCTTTCTCCCCATTCCTTGCCAGCAATTTGAGCCTGTTTCTCTTTATTTGCTTACCCATTTGTGCCTTTCCTGTGTCCTTGAAGTTCCCTCACCCCATACAGATGAATGATCTGTATTGAACAATTGAGTTGAAAATATCACAGAGGTCATATCCAAGAGCTGGGCCTTGTATAATTGTTTTAGCTGCAACAATGAAGGAGCAGGAAGCACACCCTGTATTCTCCACACCCCTATCTTTGCCCCTGCCCTTAGCCAGCTACCAAGACAAAAAGTTGCACCTTTGGACTTCTCATGGCACTTTGAATGAATGATCTCTTCTCCTTATGGCCACGTTCTATTGTTCAACTTCCTATTTTCCCTAGTTTTGAGGAGAGAATGTATGTTTTATTCAGTTTAGTATCTCTAGTACCCGATAGCACCTGGCACATGATAGATGCACAATAAATATTGGATGGATTAACAGATGCATAAATGAATGAATGACTGAATGAACACATCAGACCACTAGCCTGCCTAGAGATATGTTCTTCATTGACAAATTATTGCTTTCTTATGACTTTAGCCAGTCTGAGCCAAACAACACTAAATTATTGCTTTGTCTAAAAAGAGTATTTCTAGCCTTTTTCCCTTTGGGGGAAAAAAGTCTAGTAAAATTCATTTTTAATCCTTTGGCAGAATCATTTGCGTAACAAATTGTAATTCATTCCATGTTGAAAGATGACTACCTTGGTTCCGGAAGTGCAGAAACAAATTAAAATGAGGACAGAAATAAGCAACTCAAATGATCAAAGGACTAGAAATTTTGCTTAGGAGGAATGATTAACGGTGCTAAATTGGTAAAGCCGAGGGGCTGAGAAAAGCAGCAGAAAGCCAAAGATGCTGGGAACAAGTGCGTCTAAAGAAAGAACATCCTGGAGCAGGATCCAGGGTGAGATGGCACTCAGGACCGCTTCAGTACACTCGCGGGAGCTTAACAAGCTCATCTGCCCACACAAGGTAATGGAATGTGTCATCAGGACCCTTTTATGGAGGACAATTGGGAATATGAGGGCACAGGCCTCAGCTCAGACAATCAAGGAGTAAAACAGCATCTCCAGAAAAATGCCTTCCTGGTGGCCTTTCTCCAAAGAGGGACAGCTTGGTCTCCCTAGGACTTCTAGAGAAGTACCTGAAGCAAGCAGGGAGAGAACAAAAGAACCAGGATCATACCCAAACCTGTGTCCTTTGAAATACTTAACGTGACC